CCCCCCCCCCATTGATTGCTCCTTTTCTATTCCTTCCATTGTGCCCATATTCTTGTGAACTTCTTGTTTTTAAATGGCCTCAGGTTTCCACTGTTCATCACTTTTGAGTTCTTATGCACCTTCTCTCTCTCATTCTAGGACTCCACCTTTCCCTTATCTATAGAAAGCTCTTAAGTCCCCAGTTTGAATCCTTTTCTTCCTCCAAAATCCAGTCTCATAGCTTATATGCTCCTGGATATTTCACACTTGAATGTCTTGTTCTTACTTCATATTTAACATGTCCCAAAGACTCCTTGCCCTCCAACCCAGCTTCTTTTCCTCACTTCCTTGACTCTCTTTGGCACCACCAACCTTTCCATCATTTTTGACACATCCTTTTCTATACCTATTCAAAAGATCCTTCTAGCTCCTCTCAGGCTCTTTCTTTTCTCCATTCCCAGTGACACCTCTTTCCTCAGGACAGAATCTTGACCCCTTCAGCTCACTAGGTTATGACCTTCTCCCCAGTGGCTACCCTTTACTTTGGGCTCTCCCCTCATGTCCATCCTTCACTGTCCTCCTAGATTTAGTTTTTTTAAACACTCCTTTCATCACCTTGCTCTTGTGCAAGACCTTCAGTGGTCTATTTTCAGCCCTTCAAGCTCTCCTCCACACCTCCAATTATCTGGCTCCACATTGTTGAACAAGTAGCATTTCTTACTATCCCCAATACTGACTTGAGCTTTAATCACACTGCTCTCTTATCCTCAGTGCTACAGCAGGTCTATTTTGTCCTTCCATTTCTCCCGTTTTGTTTTTCTTAACATGGAAGTGCTTCTCTATGATCACTTACATTCTATTATTCAATACCTGATTAAGGATCCTTTCCTTGATCAGTCTAGCTCCCCATTGATTTTTCTCTCCTCTTGTAGAGTTTATAATCTATATCTAACAATTCACACTTATTTTCTGTCTCTATTTCTTTTTGTTGTTACTTATTTTTGTTTCAAATATTACAGATGTCCTTTTTTTCTCCCCAATGACTCATTCCACCCCGTCCCACCCCGCACCCCAGTCCCTCTCCTTGGGTTGTGCATATATACATATGAGTTCTTTGGTTAATCTCTCTCTATTTCTTGGTGTTGTTTTAAGTATAATGGGTCAGTCACTGATTTTAGATGCTAGTTCTTACTCATGAGCTGATGCAAATGTAACAACTCATGACAGAAACCCAGTCACATAAGATTTTAAAATCTGCCCCTAACTAAATTTCTGAATTGGCTCTCTTTAGGGAGAGAGAAAAAAAGCCCACTACCAAGGGACAATGCATATTTCAGAGTCTTTGGGCCAAAGGGGCTTTTAAATGGCAATCCATCTAGTCCAATCACCTAAAATTTTAATCCTCTCGATAGCATCTCCTTAGTGATTATCTGTCTGTAGCTTTGAACACATCCAGGAAAAGCAGCTCATTATGAGTAGAGGTGTCTCTGGTTCCTGGACTCTGTCAAG